GTTTCCAGTCTCTGCTGAGGAAGCGCGGTAGGTTGAGGCATCTCTCTCATCTCTCTTTGCCTCTGTCTGCAGAAAGACGTTCTTGAGAGACTGTTGATGGCTCTTGGTGGCCAAATAAACTGTTTTTTTCTGCTCTTACACTGGTTACCAAGTGTGGTCTTACATTTATCAATGAATTAACTTGAAAAACTGCTTCAATTCTGTGTATTTAGTATGAATAAATCTAGTTGGAAATAAATTTAATAAGAAATAAAGTTATTTTTAAGATGGTTGTATTTTTATATCTAATAGAAGAACCTAGTGAGTGTTTCAAAAATATACATTAGGAAGTCATAAAAAATATGGGGGTAATGTATTTGCCCTTCATTAATGTACAAAAGGCTTTTTTCACATTCTGACACCTCTGTCTCTCTCACACACACACTGTCAGCAGTGCTTTAGCAGGCCAGTGTAAATCACTAGGGCCTATTCCAGCTACAGCAGGGCTTTGTGCAGTGAACTCCTTCTGGGCCTCCACACCTCAGCAGGAGGGGGACAAACTGCATACCTGCAGTATTAATTGGTTCTGCTTGTCTTGCTTAATGGATTATTCTCCACTTTTTTTAAATAAAACTATTAAAAGGAAATACCCATTCAGAGCAACAGGGTTACTATATCTGCTAACATAGATCTCAGCAATTTATTACTTTACTGTGGTCATGTTTAATTTCACATTAAAAAAGCAATTTCCTGGCAGTGACTCCTTCTGTTCTTCTGTATGGGCAATTCCTCACCAGTACTCTTGTGTTTTCTGTGGCAGGCCGCGTTGACAGCCCAGTCTGTCTTTATTCCTTAGAGGCTGATTGAGTGCGGCTCACGGTGCCTCATCAAGGAAGACGCTCTCTTTTCAAGGAGCAATAATTTAACATTTAAAGGAAATGCATAAATGTTAAATACTTTCACTGTTTTTTCTGCCCTTGCACTGGTTACCAAGTGTGGTCTTACATTTATCAATGAATTACCTCATATTTTTCTATCCTGAAATTGAAAAACTGACTTTGTTCTGTGTATTTAATATGAATAAATCTAGCAACATAGGTTTTGGAACCAACAACATTTATTGCCATTGTTGTGCCTCTTGGTAGATGCATTTGAAAATTACATATCCTTTAATTACAGCAACAATGAAATCAAATTCTGAATGAGGATACTGGAATGCAGCTTTGAAGATGTGTGTACAAGCCCAGGGACCTTTAAAGAAAGTTGTCATAATACTCCCAATTGGACCTAAACATCAGTAGTAATTTATACTGATCAAAACCTCCATCCATTCACAGTTTCAGGAATGAGGGCCTGATCCTCTACTTTCCAGGATCCAGGGCTTGGAAAGCACTGCCTTCCCTACCTGCCTGTGGTCTCTGTAAACGAACAAGTCACTGCTGCAAAAATATCTTTGAAAATATGTGATTCATCAGCTATTGAAACCTAGGTAGCCCTCCAGGTGTCCCTAATGCAGTTATTGAAATACGGCTTTTAAATTAAAGGAATGTATTAGTAAGCTGGTGAGTAGCTGGGATCTGGATTTCCTTGGTTGAGCTTCACATCCAGCCAGTTGAGGTTCCTTACGAGGTTGAGGTCCAGCATTTCATTTTGATTACAGATATTGAAAGTCAAAGAGCCTCAGATAAAATGCTTAATTGAGGTATTGCAATGCCACAGTTGTTGGAGGAGGAACGAAATTAATTTGCTTGATTCAAGTCGCTTTGTGGTAAGGAGGGCTCAAACTGAGGTGGTACTGAGGGCCCCCTGTTCCAAGACCTGTCCTGGCAGCTGAGCATTGAAATCCGAGTCACGACAGCAGTGGCTCAAATAGTCAAACAAATCACACGAGTCAGTCAAGAAGATCATAAGGAGAGGAAACTACTCCAGCCAATATCCAACGAAAAAGTGTATAATGAAAAGCAAGCATATGTTATGAAGTATATTTTAAAGATCAAGAAAGGAAGAGAAAAGAATGTTGCAGTGGAGGCTGTAAGAAACAATCAAACTTCTTAAGCATTACGGTAGCAAACACTAAAGGATGAAAGAAAATGTCCAGGAAATAAAGAGGAAAACCTGTAAATGACGACATGGAACAGGCCGATATATTGAATTCATATTTCACTCAGGTATTCACCAAGGAAGGAACAAACAACATTCCTCAAAAAAAAAGGCAAAGTTTCATAGTAAGTTTTCATAGAAGAAGCAGAACTAGTATGTATAATAGAAGCACCTAAGATAAACACATTTCCAGAGCCTGAAGCTGTTAATTATACTTAAGGAAACAGGAGATGCAATTCATTGGCTCTCAAGATGACAAAACCAAACAGAGTAATTACAGACCAATAAGTCTATTTGACGGAAGGCTAAGGAAAGAATAATTAGAACTAATCTGTTCAGCACTAGCTCTCTAATGAATGGTGAGCATGGTTTCTCTTAACTTCTTAGTGTTTTTTGAACAAGCTACAGCAGTGAGAATACCAACAGCATGTGAAACTGTTAAGATTTTCAGAAGACATTTGATAAAGTACCTCATGAAAGATTAATTGTTTAAAACTGCTGGCAGCAGGTCTTCAAGGTAATGCATAGACTTGGTTTATGAACTGGTTAATGGACAGGAAGCACTGGTACAGGTAAGGACTAAATGCTCAGATTTCTGGGGGAGGTGTAATTAGTGGAGTACCTCAGGGTTCTGTGTTAGGACTACTGTCTTTCCTAATCTGTATCAATTTCTGTGTCGGTTCTTGCATAGTTAACGTAGTGAAGCAGATCATTTTCATCATCCAGGCAATGTGGAAAAGTATAAAATGTGAAGGGTAATTGTACAGTGCATTTTGAAAACTGTGTACAATTTGCTCATCGTGATACTGTAATTCCAGAGAAGAGTAGAGCTAAACATTTTAGTGTTGATCAGAGAAGACTATAGGGGATCCGATTAAAGTGTTTAATATTCCCAAAGACACTGACATACTCAGCCCTGCAGATTTCTCCAGAATGAACAATGAAGCACGAAGAAGTGGAAAATCCATGGAATATTCCACATGCCAAAGAACGCTCCCAGGACGTTGCAGGACCAGTGCCAGGATAGTTCAAAGACTCCCACACGTGGGGCAGCTCTCCCAGGAATATTGGCCTGGCGACTCATTCGTGCACGATCGTGGATAGTTCCAGCTAAGAGCTGTTAGAACACTTTTTCTCAGAAACGCAAACCTCAGCGTCACAGCATCCTTGCCTGTGGTCTCCCCGGATTTTAATCCCATCAAGCAGCTCTACGTCACGACTAGGTTGTGAGGTCTGAAGAGTCTCCAGACCCCTGTGGGATGTGTGCGGGGTCCGAGACCTCGCCGTGCCACTCCCCAGCTCAGTGAGCTGGAGGAGGTGCCAGGGCAAAGCTGTCTTTGCTGTGTGAACTGATCGGACGCAGTGCCTCCATTTATTCACCAGATCTCCAGGAAAGGAAAGAGATATAACGCAAGCAGCAGTGGCAATGAGTTTGTAACAAAGTGTGAAGGAAACTGCTGGTAAATGTTTAAATATTTGGGTTGTTGTAAAATCTTAATATCTATCCAAACCTTATAGCTTTCCTAGTGGCGTCTGATGTTTTTGTTTTTTCTCTGCATCTCTCAGTGGGGCTATAGTCTATTGGCCTTCTCTCTGGCTCAGCCCTTGTGGTTTCTGTCATTGTCCCTGAGGAATGGGATAATTCCACTTTGATGTGCTCACTGCTAGGGATGTTCTCGTCTTTACTGGTTTCTTTCTTTTAATTTGCTGGAAGTCACTGTCTTTGTAAGCTACATAAGATTGCTAGGCTGAGCTAAAGCATCGTCCTACAGCACCAATGAGATGATTAGATATTTTTTAAGTGAGAATCGTTTCATTTTGCTGTGCTGACTTTTGAATTTTGATGAAAAACCAAACCATTTTAATAAGCCTGTTCTGTACATATTTAAATGAAAACCATAATAAAAATTCAGAGACCCATTCTAAAATAGAATTTTAGAATAAATGCTTTTAATGCATACAGAAATGAAATTCTGATAAATGGTGCTCTTTAAAAATGGAAACGTAATAATCTGTGCCAGAGTACCACAGGGATCTGCACTCGGTTCACAGCTCTTTCTCATTTAGATAACTGATCTGATTCTGGAGTAGCTGGCAAATTACTCAAGTTTGCAGTAGACACCAAATTAGGAAGATTAGGGAACACTGCAGAATGAGCAAAATAAATTAAGAAGATTTTGATAAAATTCACGACTGAGCAAACAGGTGACATTTAATGCTGACAGATGCCAGATTTTTCATGCACTTACTAAAAATGTAAACTATAAACCACTTAACTTCTAACTACTTAAACACCCTAGAGGCTGGAATGGCCTCCTCTCATAAGTAACCTTTCTTATGTTTTTATGTCTGCAGTCTTTAAAGTTTTTATTCTCTATACTGCTAATGTAGAGGAGTTTCATGCACAGGTTTTGAAAACATGGTTTAGCTTCTGTTTGTTCCAACATTAACCAAGGAGCACAGTCCAGGTTCATTTATACAGACTAACTCCACTACATGGTATAAAGTGCACTTACCTTTTCTGGATCATAATATTGATTAACCTTTTATTTCGTAGCAGATATTTATAAATAAAATGTATAATACCCAGCCCAGTGATACTGATTGTGGCACTGTAAATATGTCATGAATTGTCTTGAATGTCAGAGCATGGCTGTTGTTAACAGATTGGAACACATGAATTATACGAACAATCCATGTTATTTTGAGATGTAAAATTCTTAAATGGCATTGACAGTTTCTCCACAAGCACCCAAAAGCTGTAGGCAATGTAAAACGTTTTTCTGCTTTTTAAATATTTTTCTTCTCAAGTTGCTGGCAAAACAGAAACAGCAAAAATATGGCCAGTGTTTGTTTTTTTGGGGAGGGGCACTTATCTCTCCACAAGCCTCAACTCTGATGTGTCTGTCCTGGTTTCATAGGCAGTGAATACGACGAAGAGGAGGTAGACTATGAAGAATCGGACAGTGACGAGTCCTGGACCACAGAAAGTGCAATTAGTTCGGAGTCCATCCTGAGCTCCATGTGTATGAATGGAGGAGATGAAAAGCCTTTTGCCTGCCCTGTCCCTGGATGTAAAAAGAGATACAAGGTGAGTTTAGTCTTTTGCTTTGTGTGATCGCCGTGTTCTTGCCACAGAAAGCAGTAGATGTTTTGGGCCAGCACGCCTGAGCACACTGAAACCACACATACAGTGTGGCCCTGGTTACAGAGCTATCTGATCCATGAGCTTTCATTATAATGGTCTTTATCTGGTCCTAATTTATTTTTCATCTTTGTCTTCACAGTAGTTACAATACACTAAACAGCTGGGAACGTTGAACAGTTTTGTGTTGCTCAAGCAAATTTTCCCTTTCCTTAGAAAATAGTTTCTTTGCACTGTTGGAGAAGCACTGTTTGCAAGATGGAGAAGTTTCTTTTGATAATTAAAGATACGTTTCTTTTTTTTTTAATAAGTATATTTGAGGAAAACGTGGAATGTGGAATCCATAGTGTTGTGTAGAGGATATATAATTCCATAATTCATATTAATATGTGGGCTGCATGGTGTTGCGGTTGTTCGCATTGCTGCCTTACAGCACTGGGACCCTGGGTTCAGTTCACACATGCTGTCTGTGTGGGGTTTGTGTGTTCTCCCTGAGTTTGCTTGGGGTTCCCCTGGGTGCTCAAATTTTCTTCCACAGACTAAAGACATACAAGTAGATGAATTGGCTTTTGGTAAGACTGGTGCTAGTGTTAGTGTGTGTTGTGTCTGTCTGTGTGTGCCCTTCGATGGGCTAGAATCCCAACCAGGGTGTGCCCTGCTTTGCACCCACTGCTTCCTTGGATATGCTCCAGGCAGCTGTGAGCCTGAATTGGATAAGCTGTTAGTGATGATGTGAGAATAGTGTAAACCATGTCATATATAATTTTTTATTTCCACAAACATGTGGTTTGCAGTCTGTCCTACTTAAGTACTTTAAAAGGCAGGTGTAAGTTTAAATAATTTACTCCAGTAGAAAAAAAACAGCAAATGTTGGCTCATAACAGACCCAATGAAAATCTCAGGGTTTCCAGACAGGTGCTTCATTTGTTTAAGGAATGTCTTTCAATAAATATTACGGTGAAAAAGTGATTTATAGTTACTTAAAGAGATCTAGAGACGTGATCTATTCTAGGACAATAAAACCCATCGTGTTTTTCCCTTTAGAGTTAAACATGATAAAGAGAAAAATAATACTGAAATGATGCATCATATGAGTTTCTCTCATTTTTCAAGTTTCAGATGTTGTGGGTGTTGGTACACTGCATTAGTTGGTCAGACCTCTCTGAGTTTGCCTGGGCGTTTCTCACAAGCTTTGCTGGAGTGTTTCAGCAGTATTGGGTCGGGGGAGATGGGAGGTAAAACTGCATGTGTCTCAGGGCACCCAGCCATTTCAGTGAGAATCTCAGGGTAAAAAGGATGGAAGATTCGCTCTGTAATTTGTCACATCCTGACTGTACTCTGCTTGACTCCAGGGCATATTCTTTATTTCCTGCGTTCCTCCCAGCTCTGTCTACCTAGCTGCTATATTCTTAAATGCATGAGGGTTCTCCTGCACGTCTTACATGCTTCAGCAGTCAGACAGGACAGCCTAACGATCCATGCAACACAGGGCCGAACAGCCAGCACAGAGATGGCAGTAAGTGCCAGCAGTACGAGGGCATAGAGCCCGAGCGAGCAGCGCGACAGTGACTGTCTCCTTGAGACTGCTGAGGGGAATCAGGGCAGGGTGGCAGACAAACAGTTTGCATAAAAATGGGACAACATCTATGAAGCATTTGGCCATTCATTTAGGGTGTTAATAGCCCAATTATCTGATGGTCTTATCCAGCTGTTTCTTAAACAGCCAGGGTATCAGCTTCATAAACATGGCTGGGTAGCCTGTTCCATGCTACTGTACCACGATCCACATGTAGAGTAAAGAAGTGCCTCTCATACTTAGTTTTAAATGCACTTTCACATAGTTTACACTTCCTCTGGTTTGTGTCTCGCTGTTGATTCAAGTTTATTTTATCTGTTGATGAGGTTGACTATGTGTCTCCACATACCGACTTCTTACGGGGTCAAAATAGAAACACATATCAGGTTTAGACTGCATAGAACTGCTTGTAAAACTCAAAACGTTTTTACACAACGTGCTGTAAGAGTCTGGAAAAGCTTTTTTCAAGAAGTGGCTGGATGAGATCATTCTACCAGATAATGTTGATGTGTGTAAAGGCCTCCTCCTGTTTGTTAAGGCCTGTTATGTTCTTGTGATGTTATATATCGTATTCAAAGGAACAAGTAATAGTTTTATTCCATGCTGAAAAAAAGAAGAAAGAAAACACAACGTTTCGGCCCTGGAGCCTTCTTCAGATGTGAGCTCCTTTATATATCGTATTGTTCAGTTTCCCTTTCATACTGCTTTCCCGCATTGTCTACGTGTAGTGTAAATGATGTATAAAGCAAAAAACCTAGGTTATTTTCATAAATACCAAAAGTATCATCTTTTTGTAGAGTTATAGCTTGTTTTTTACCTACATGAGAAAACTCTGCACTTCTCTAAATTTAAAGGTGTTTGCCTTGTCTTTTTATTAAGTCTTTTCCTTCCAATCTAAATTTTCTTTGCATCTTTTACATTGTTTGCTAATCTTTTTATTTTGGGATCATCTGTATCAGAATCTACATCATCAGTATAAATTAGGAAGGGCAGTGGTCCTCAAACGGGCCCCTGAGGCACTCAACTAATTGCGTTAACCCCTGATAAGGCTGTTTTCTATTAACTAATTATAAATACAAAAGCATAAGCATGCCACTTCTTCAGCACCTACTGCCTTCTGTTTGACAGTTAATCTCTGAGGACAAGCATTCTGAAAAACCTAAATATGTAAACTTTTAACCTTATTCTCCCATTTATACTACTTTTAGCTTAACACATAATGTATCGTATGTTCCCGTTTCCATTATATATAACTGCATTGTAATTGATATTTAAATGTAGTGGTCTATAGGATTGCTCCTAATACAAGACCTTTTGAATGCTTGTTGATGCATCACACTCGTACAAAATTTGAGACCCTTGTTTCTGTCAGCTCATGAGCCTGCGCCTGAATGCTCTTCATTGTATAGCATCTGTTATCTTTCTGTAATTCACCATCATCGCCTACTAAGGCAGTACCTTCGCACACTTTTTTTTCTCACATACATTGCTGTTAAATGCATTTTCTTACAATATGTTCCCAAGACTCTGGCATTTAAGTAAATGGGCTTATTACCTGGTTCTTTGATGTTTATTTTTCCCATCTCTTTTTGACTCAGTCCACTTTGTACCTACTTTGCAGATTTTCTTTAGAATCTTCTCTGTTCTGTTCCAATTTAGTGTTTTTAAATTTCTCCGTAAATTCCCTGGTCAACTGGTGCTTGCCGTCTCCGGATTATTCCTCCATGTATAAGCTGCTTTCCCAATTGTAGCCAATTGTATGGATTATAGCCACCTCAGCTCCAAGGAGTCAATAGTGTCCAGCTTTTCTCTTTCGCTAGTAGTCTTAATGTCACTGGAACTGGTTAAAAGAGTGCAACTGCTATCTGGATTTGATGGTAGCATCCTGCTGCCTTGAATGTTCAAGTCTTTGTTCTTGCTCTTGTTATTGGCCCTGGATGGGTGATGGTGATGTGAACTTGTGTGTACAGGCCTCAGTTTTACATTCTTTGACAAACTGCGCCCTTCTCTCTCACTCTCTCTGTTTCGGCACTGAGTGACAATTTAGGACGCCTTCATCCTTGAATTTGGGATTTGCCTGTTGGTCCTTGTCATCGGGCTCTGACAGTTCCTGCATCTCCTTCTGCAGAGTACTCATTCTTTCCAGAATGAGCTGCATTTGTTTGTCAGTTTTCATTTGCTGACATGAGTCTTCCAGGATGCACCACATGTTGAACACATTATAAATCAAAGGTCTGAGGACCATATGACAGGAGTCTCTTTAAATTGTGAGGGAGGTAAATATTTGCAAGCCTGCACTATAAATAGTACTTAGTTCAATTTTCACAAGTTAATATGAACAGAAAGCATAAAATCAAGTTTCCTAAAGCTATACATATTTTAAATCACACAAACAGTGGCAGTAGCAATATCACTTTTTTAAAAAAAAGTTTTCAATAGATATGTAAGGGCTGTGTTGTGTTGAAATAATGATTACCAAATTGGTTGCAGGTTACTCTTAGATTTAGATGTTCTTAAATGCACATATCCAGTCCACATCAGAAGGCTTGTAAATTTTACAAGATTTTCCACTCATATATGGTATGTATGGCAAAGATAAATCTCAGTCACTGCCTGACATAATTATACAGCCGATCAATCTAAAAATTATAAAACCCACTTATCATTACAGGAACTGTCAAACACAAATTGAGCCCAGATGTTTGTCTTGTGGGGCTTTCTGATGGGCCTCTTGCGATACCGTGACAGTCATGAGCAGAAACAGGACTGACCCAGCTGGCAGATCCAGTTACAGTGATCAGGCCGGCCAGCAGGCAATGATAATTGCTTGCTGGTTGGGTGTATGTGGAAGACCAGGACAAAGTTTAGCTTTTCTGGAAGAAATAAATCACTCAATAAATTTCCCACTAGGGCATCTTTGAAGGAGCGCTGCGCATTTTAACATTTCAGCCGTGTCGCAGCCTGACTTGGACTTGGCACGGTCGAATGAGCCTCCGCAGCCGGCGAGGGGTCTCCCTGTCCGGGCTGCGTGCTCAGGCCCTGCGCCGGGCCGGCACACTGATGTGGGAAACTCTGCAGCCATGACTGCCAGGAGTCTGCTCCCCTTCGAGCTGCAATCTGCATTAGAACTGCCGCAGCTAAACAAGCTAAAGAAGAGAAAAAAAATGTTTTTTTTGTTTTTCTGAGACAGGTTTGGATTTAATTAAAACTTCTCCTCGCCTGCCAATCACAAATTATAAAAAGCCCTTTCCTGATGGCAGCTTTCTGTTTGGCTGAGGTCTCTTGCTTCTTCTCAGTGAGAAACAGCTATCAAGCACAGGGTTTATAAAGTACGATTAGCAGGTGGGTCAAGGTTCATATTTAATCCAGGCTTTGAAGTCTCTAGTTGTCTTCCTGTGTATTGGAAGTTCGCTGGGTTAGATGGAATTCATGATGTCCTATCTGCTCTGGAGGAGCACTTTATTAATTGTGACCAGGCAGTTTAGATAGACTTCCACTTAAAATGTACATTATTTACCTGCTCATCAAAGACACTGGCAGCTGAGAAAGAGTTTAAAGAACAGTCTGCGAACTGCTAATGTGCAACAGGTGTAGAGTGTCTGGAATTGTGTCTTGAACTAGTTTGTGTGGCCCAGGCTAAGGCCTGTGAGCCTAGAGCTCAGCCTTTTTATTTTTAATTCTCAAAAAGGAAAAAGGAGGAATCATATTCTGGGTGGTATAATGGATCAAGGGGACTAAAGCGAAACATGTATGTTGCGTTTAATTAAAATACCACGATGCAAACACATTCTCAGTCCATTTCCTTGGCTATTTAAATCCACACAATCCATTGACCTGAGAGGGCAAAAGAGAAAAGCCAGATGAGTATAGCCAGTGAAATCAGGGAACGAATCGTCTTTCCCAGTAAACCTCTGGAGCATAAAGGTCATTAATAATGACCAAACTAAATTAATTTCATATTTTCGTATTAAAGCTGAGCAAGCTGGATAAGGGCATGAATCGTGATTCACGCAGTAGCAGCACTGACCCACCCTGATCTGAGTGCAGCGAGCATCTTAGTTTTAGTAATGTCAAGTGTGGCAAATTGTGGTCACATACAGGTACATACATTCTCCTCCTGCTTTCTGACAGGGTGGCTACTACACAGGTAGCCTCAAACTTCTCAGTAAAGCACACTGCAGTTCTAAGTGTTCTTGTGTGCATGCCCCTAACTTGTCAAGTCCAAGATGCCAGCAGTCATATCACCTGCAAGCTCAGCAGGTGTGAGCCTGGTCAGTACCTGGATGGGAGATCTCCTGAGAAAGCTGAGGCTGCTGCTGGAAGAGGTGTTAGTGGGGGCAGTAGGGGGCGCTCACCCTCCGGTCTGTGTGGGTCCTAATGCCCCAGTATAGTGACGGGGACACTACACTGTAAACAGGCGCTGTCCTTCGGATTAAACGTAAAACCGAGGTCCTGACTCTCTGTGGTCATTACAAAAAACCCAAGGCATTTCTCAAAAAGAGTAGGGGTGTAACCCCGGCATCCTAGCTAAATTTCCCATCGGCCCTTACCAATCATGGCCTCCTAATAATCCCCACTGTCTCCATCACACTGTTCTCCTCCCCACTGAGAGCTGGTGTGTGGGGAGTGTACTGGTGAACTCAGGCTACTGTCATGTCATCCAAGTGGGCCTACACATTGGTGGTGGTGGAGGGGAGTCCTCATTACCTGTAAAGAGCTTTGAGGGGAGTGTCCAGAAAAGCGCTGTATAAGTTTAAGGAATTATTATTAAGTTCTTCTCCCCGAAGTCTGTCTGTTCATACTGAGTGTGTAGCACGTTTCCTCCTTATAAAACTCCAGTACACAGGGACACCTTCAACAACTTCAAGAAGTTGTGGAGATTTCTATGGTGCTTCGAAAGAGCAGAACATTAGTGTAGGTTTGTTTTTGTCAATTCAAATAAATCAATTTAAATTAAGTGATCTCAGCAGCTTTGAAGTGTTGTAAGGCCTGGATCTGGTGACTACAGTCACAAAGACACAGCTAGACTAAGCTCTCGGCCTTGAACAGGATATATGCCCACCTCGAGCTGTCATTGGGAACTAAGGTAAGAATGTTAGGCCCATTTCATGATAAAAACTGTGATTCAGTCATTCGAATTTCAGTGATCTGGAGAGCACTGGTAATGTGTTAGGAAAAAATGATTTTAATTAGGTGGATATTCAGTGTCATGTTTCTTGTTTCACAGAATGTGAATGGCATCAAGTACCATGCCAAGAATGGTCACAGAACACAGATCCGTGTCCGCAAGCCGTTCAAGTGCCGCTGTGGAAAGAGCTACAAGGCTGCTCAGGGTCTGCGGCACCACACCATCAACTTCCACCCGCCGGTGTCTGCCGAGATCATCAGGAAGATGCAGCAGTGAAGATGCTGGTCCCAGCTGTGCCAAGAACCTTCACCAGCAGTTGCTGATGTTCCTTTTATTTGTTTTAGATCAGCCACCTTTTTGGACAGGAAATTGTTTTCAGCCCTTTAAAAGTACACTAAAGTTTTATTGCATGCTTTGATATTTTTTCTTCTGTATTTTGGAATGATATATCTTTGTAGAGTTCGTTTTTGTACATTTGCACATTCAGCTATCATACCTATTTTTCATTACTTTTGACACACGGTGCTAAATATTAAAAGAAGAAAGAGTGACAAATTGTCTGGGACAGTTTTGACAACAGCTTGTTGGGAGTAACCGGGTGTACATGTCATGCACAGTCAGAAAGGCAGAGCAAAGGAGAGCTGGTGGAGGGAGTGAAGGGGCTTCTGTGTAGTTTAGGAGAAACAAAGGATGTTTGATCTTGTGTGAACAAACATCCTTAGAACTGACACTCATTCCAACAAAGTGCATTGAGTGCCGAGATGAACAATGCAGTTTTAGTTAAAAAAAAATGGAAAAAAAATATTGAATGTTTGTAATATAACATGGCTTATTACCTGGTATATTATATATATACTTCTATAACCTGACAAAGTTAGATTTATCCAAATCCAAGTTTTATTTTATACCGTATTCATGTGTAAAATTCCTCTATATGTTTCAAAGATTTTTCAAACAAGGCTGTTTGAATCTCTTTCATTATCATGGCCCCTGAAAAGCTGTAGTAATTTCTGTATACGCCACAACCAGATCTCAAGTCAGGATCAGCTGGGTTTCGAGAGCCACATTACTGCCCAAGGAACCACACAGTATTTAGCATTACCTGTATCCACCAAAATGGCTCATAGAACTGACATTCTTCCTCTTGTGTCACAAATTCCAATGCCGTCTTACAGGAAACGCACCATCTTCATCAGGAAAGGTGAAGTTTTTTTAAGCACTTTGTAGTTAAATCAATTGCCAATAGCGTTTCAATGTTTTATGTTGCCAAAACATGTAACTGCTGGACAAGCCTGTACCTGTGGTTGCAAAGCTAAAAATTAAAACAAAAAAGGAGGCAGTATTTTTTGTCAGGGGAATTCGTTTTTCCACCAAGCCTCCTGTGTTTTTTTTGTAGTTTATATGCACACAATTGTAATGGTCTTCTAATGGCCTTGTATTCTAGTTCACAGCATTCCAGTCTTATTGGTCTGTGGAGATTTACAGTGAAACTGTACTGGAGAGTATAGTTTGAGCCTTATCATTCATTACTGTTACAGTGTTGTGTAGTGCAAGGAGTCATTTCAGGTCATACCGCTGACCCCTGTCTGCTCCATCCCTGCAGAATACCTGCAGCACAAAGGCATCGTGTTTTACAGTAATTCTGAGATCTTCACAGGACATACAGAAAGTATTAAGATTTCTTCTTCGTTTGCACAGACTCCACAGGTATTGATAATTCACTGCAGGACAGCCATTTCAGAAACCAGTCCACTACAGTAATTGTAAGGGGGTGGGGGGGTGGGGTTAGAGATTGTGGCAATGTGGACACGTGGCAGCCGGTTAAGATGTAAAGAAACATTGTACTTCCTGTGAATTTGGCTTTATTTGGTCATTTCCATCCCATTGCAGAGTTTGGCCCAAGCTCAAAAAGGAAAGTAACACATACAGTCCCGTCTCTGGGTTATATAAGAGAATGAAAACAGAGTGCTGGGCGGGTTTGCTAAACAGTCATAAAAATGTCACCACTGCATGTAAATGAATATTGTAATGGAATTACAGTTTATATTTAGTTTAACATTGTGACAGTATTATAAAACAGGTAAGGAGGGGACTATTTTGATATACTGTGTATAGTGAATGTATTGTACTGTGTCTGTGTAAGTGCTTTAAATTATATTTTCGTATGTTTTGTGGAGAACAAATGTTCCTTTGTGTATGAAGGCAACAGAGGTTATGTTTTGGAACCGAAGGTGATTTACTAAGTCAAACTTTCTTTAAAAAGCTGCTTTATAAATGTAAATCTGATTACATTTAAGAATTAAAAAAAAAACCTCTAACAGAAGTGTCATTTGAGACTTTTTGTTTCACTTTTCATGCATTGACATTCTGGGAGTTAAACTGCAACTTGTTTCCTCTTGTTGCACTTTGTTTTGCATACATTAAAAAGGATTGATTTACTATCCATATAATACTGGGAACACAATTATAGTAACAACTGCACATGTCAGTTCTTACCAATAATGCTGGCACATGTGATTGGAAAAAGAGGTAGAGGACTGGGAAACAGAATTAAAAGTGACTAAGGAAATACAGCTACTCAAAAATGCTCAAATATATGAAATTGTTTACATGCCCAAAATATCCTACAATATTTTTCTATGTGAATGCAATGCATTGTTGGTATTTAAATAATCAAGAGCTTTTGAGAATAAGCATATGTTTCTTATTCTTCCAGAACTCCTGTGAGGCTCACTCTTCCTGACACACAGTGACACGCGTTATCACAAGCAGAAACACTCCCATGAAGCCAAATATATTTTATTTGGAAATAGCAGTTACAGAGGGAACAAAATCCAGGACTCCCAATAATAACAATAACCAATAGTTGAAATCTCACTACACACTAACATTTGAATAACTAAAGAAAAAAAATTTAAAGGACAAGTAGAACATATAAATCAAAGTTCATACATGCTTGTAAACCACATAAAACTACATGCCCAAGAATGCAGATGTTCCTATATTAGGGCTAGTGCCAGAAATAACTTAAGTGAGCAGAAACAAACAATACTAAAAGATCAAAAGCAGCTTATTCTATTTGTATTTATTAAGTACTGAGCTGGATTTCTCAAATTATTTTCCTCTAAAAATATTGATTTAATGGCCATCGGTAGCCAGTTTACTTATTGAAGTGAACATTACTATGACATTTTTCAGAAACCACAGAGTAACCCTAAAGTAAATTTCTATGAAAAGCAACTGTATTCCTTACATAGAGCAATCTACCTAGGAGAATGCAGAAAACAGGAAATAAAAAGACTTTGTCCTTCACAGTGTTCAGTCTGGTTCAGTGCAGACTTCAGTAAAGAAATTTCTCTCTTCAAATATGCCAAAGTCATAGAAGGGTAAACCACATCAAGTACTTTTATATTTAACACAGGCTGTGGGCCAGTCACATTTGAGCTAGACAAATGAGAATTGTATAATTGGTAAGGTTCAGCAATCACTAAGGAAAGCCAAGACTCCATCTCCGTTAAAGTCATATAGTTCGCTATATCAAGCACACTGATAAAGACATTGAGACATTCTTGTTCTGACCTCAGTACTGCCTTAGAACTGAACAGATCCTAAATATGGGATATCCTGCATTTACAGAAAATAATCTCATGTTCCTAAAAATGTGAACCTAATATCTTGCATGCAGTTGTGAGTTATATTTTCACTGTAATGACAACACAAGCTTGATAGAGTATGCAATTTACCTCTTTTTGTGATTATTTTAGAGTGTCAATGTGTATTGCTAGTACTCGCAGTAAATCTGGAAAACAATATGTCCTATGAACTAAAAACAACCGAACAATTACTGTAAATTCACATTTCCATCAAAGTGAGTCATCACATGCCTCTCAAACACCTGCTGGTTACAATCCAGGGGGAACTGTTCATTGCACATAGGACACACTTTCCAATGGCTCTCAACGTGCTCCTCAAACTTGCTCTGGTCATAATTTGGAGGAAATATGACTTCGCACAGGGGGCATCTCTTTTGGACATCAATGCTACAGAATAAAAGGAAAAGTAATGGAGAACCCATTAAATTTTACTGCTAAAACACCACATTTACAAGCAAAAGTGAACCTATTTTAGAATCTGAATTGTCCAGCTCAATTGACTGCCAAATGCAGTAAGGACCAGTTGCTCCGTACTGGGAGTCTAAGTGCTCTTAGACCTGGAGGGTAATAGTCTCTTACTTAGATATTTGGTGGCAAGGAAATTAGTTCCTGGTACGTGTGTGAAGTATGCTCTCTCTATGAACTCTCTCAGCTTAACCAGGCCTTAAATTATGAAAATAACAATGAACCTATTAAAAAAGGAACTGACCTATACAGTAAAATTCAAACATAGTGGGTATCTGCTTAACTTAAATGTCAATAGCCTTGGCAACAGATACATGTGAATCTTGATTATTTTCCTCCAAACACAGCTTTAGCACTGGAGCACAGTTTCCAAGTAGTGTACATCCTTAGAGGTTTATTAGCAGTTGGGGCTGCTGACAGCTAGAAGAGAACACATCTGCACTCTAAATCAGCCAAGCTGTCAAATATGGTCAGAAGTAACATAACACACAAAGAAGAGCATCAAGTGGAAAAGACTCAGTTACCTGGAATCGAAACAGAAGCGAGCCCTGCTGTCGCGGAGCAGGGAGCTGTGAGAGTCGTGGGGAGTCGACTGCATGTTCTCTGCAACATCCTCGCTCTGCGGAACAACACACACAAAGTCTCAGGAACATGACAGGGCTGCAAAATGCTAAGCTCATCACTGATTACCACACAAACACCCCCAATAACAGCAGATAGGACCATTTTTACAGCCAATCTTCATCTCACAGGAGTGGCTGACTCTAGGTTTCATCCTGACCAAAATCAGCACCACAACTGCGATGTGTATGGGCAGGACACAAGTGTATGCTTCAATGTGAAGGGCACTTGATTCAGACAGCACCTTGAAACCAGGATCTGTGTACTCTAGTACTGACAACTATAAGCACGGTCCTTTCAGAAGCACAAATTAGCAATCAGGTCTCTCACTTTGCCAAAAGGAAAAGAAAACCGTACAATAAATATTTGCTGAGGAAAGAACACTACTTCATTCAAACGTTTTCTGCAAAGTTCAGATAAAGAACATTATGTTATAGTTGTATAATTTCTAATTATCTTATTGAAGTCCTATGTCTGAATTATAGTAGAGATTAAGCAACCGACAAGTTGCAGAGCACAGTTTCACTATGACATTTCATTTAAGTACAAAGCACCAATAAAATAACTAGGAAACTCCTATACTGTAGATCTCTTCATAATCTTCAATATGAGGCTCCCACCTTATAGATTCTGGATCTCTCCTATTCTAACGTTCAACAAAATTAAAGTCTAGTTAACAGTCTGTTCTTTCCTCAAGCAGAATAAATAAATCAAAGTCTAAAAAGCAGGGGACACAACGGTAAAATTTATCAGCCAAGATTAAGAAAATAACAATAAAAAATAGAACAGCATCCAGTTTAAGGAAATGAGCACAATTAAATTAGAGAGGTCAAGAGACATAAAAGAATATTGCAATGGAAGCTAATATAGTAATTTTTTCAAGTTTTTTCAGCACTGGTGAACTGATGCTGCTGATTTAGTTTATACCTCTTGTTCCTAAATCAAAGGACATCATGTAAAAATGCATAATACACTGGTAGGACCTCATACAGAACATTGTGTACAATTTCTATCACTATGATAATATATCGACCAGGTCTGAACTTAAATAACTGATTGACACAAATACACAACTGAAGGCAAAGAATAACAAATCTTCTTTTATCTTGTGGAGATGATGTTATTATGTTTATTGTTTCTGTTCTTGTGGTTCATCCAATTAATTTAATTAAATTAAAACTGTTAAGAAAAAGGAAGACTTTAAAAACAGAAAAAATTTATAATTTAAGAGTCTACCCACTGCATAAGATGGGGAACAGATGCAGTGTCAGACCTATGTGAATGGCACTAATTAAAATTAAAATAATTAAAAAAGTTTGATGTGGTAATTAAAAATCACTTCTAAAATAACGGAGACTGAAATTGAATTTGCTTATTAAAACGTACACAACAGTGAATTAAAGAAATAAAAAAAAATATTTGTTTAATTTTAGAGGAAACTGAATTTGACTATTTAAAAAAATAATGAAAGTGTTCTGTTGCATGACACATATGGGATGCAGGGCCTTCAGTCCATTTGCTGAAACATTACTGTTGTATACTGTGCTGCTTTAATCATAAAACAAAAATGACAGGCTTTTAGATAGATTAACAAATAGAAAAAATAAATAAAACTGCAGTAATGAAAGCAAAACTATAATCTGAACTTTAGATATGTTTTAACATGGTTTCTCTATTTATGGTAAACAAACCTGTCCTACATAACATAATTGTCCTCATCAAAATATTCTTTCTCCAGCTACAACAGCCTTGTCTGGGAGACCACTGAGCCTTCTAAAAGCTATTGTAATATCATCATTTTTTTTAAAAAAAAAATACAACTTAACATGCATTCCCCTGCAATTTTATATAAAAATTTAATAAGATTAGCCAGAAATGTTACGCTGCCAAACCTAAACTGGTTAAAAAGTGATTTGTGATACCATGCATGGTACAATACTTTCATAACCTTTCCACAGCAAAATCTTCAATGGGTGTTCTTGGGTTATTCATCAATTCCTTTTTTAGAGGAAAGGCACAGATCCAGTCCTGCAAGCCTGCTTTCGAGTGGGCAGTCCTGAGTGATCTATAGATGCAGTTATCACCAGCCAAGCATGTCACACCTGTCAACCTGCACTCAGGCACGTCAGCTAAATTGCCAACTCAGACTGCTTCCTCTCATAAGCACTGTCAGCTGTGCTCTCGTTTCATGAGCACAGACTGCACGCAAACAGTTGCAGAGGGCCCTGATGAGGATCATCAGAGAAATCAGATTTACCTTCAACCTTCTGGCACGATGCAAGCGCATAACTCCTACTTGTCTCTTTAGCAGTGATGAATATAAAACATGTCTATGTGGTCATTTTAAAAGAGTCAATAATTTGATATCTGGTTCAACAAATTATAGTCATCCCAAGAGAAAATAAAGTTAAGCTGATCCACTACAATTCAGAGCTATTCGACACTGCTGTCTTCTCTCCACTGATGTGCTCTTCGTGCTCACCGCGGGACAGTCACTTCAAACAGCTGGCCATGCCGATCCAGCTCACTACACTGTTGTCTCTTGAATTACAAATTGCAAATCTTCCTGATTTAAATAGTTCTCAGCCCCATTATAATCTGTTTCCGAACAAGAAATGGCTACTGCAACCTCAACCATCTTGCTCTTCCACAGAGCAGCTTGAGGCGCTTACTCTCCAGAACGCCAGAGATATTTAGGCTCATCTGACAAGCACACATCCAAATCCAGTGGGAGGAAAAGAGTGGTACTGATGGTCAGCCAGTACTGGATCTGAAGTCCTAAATCTCATTACCTTATGCCTTTGATTTTGTACACTTCACTAAAAGAAAAATATAAGCAACAAGAAAATCACTCAAGGTTCAAAGAGGAGATGTCTACAGTTTCTCTGCTTACCTTCTTAACGTGTGCAAAATACTTTAAAAGACATTTTAAAAAGCTAGTAGTAGCTAGTAGTAGCTAGTAGGGAAAAAACACAGAGGATGATCCAAATAACCTGACAGAATCAACAACTCGTGTTCACAGACTGTCTTACATGTTTAAACAAACATGCAATTAGTTCACACCACAGCAAAACTAAATAATACTGTAAGAAAGCAATATATAATTAAGATAACCACAAAAAATACTAATTAGTCACACACTACAGGCACAATTATAAACTAAGACATCTAGCTGGGATTAAGTTTGAAATATTTTAATTTAACAGTATTGTTTTACTAAAACAACATTTTTAAAGTTACAGCAAAAAAATAATGCTAATTTAACTGCATAATACTTGTACTTTGGCATGTTCGATTTTCACATTGTTCCTCCTATTGTCTTTGTGGTTTCCATGTCTGCATGTGTTGTTTAGCAGTCTGCAAATAAGCACACAGTTCTCCAAGTGCACAAGATGACAAAGCAAGTCAGAAGCACACAGATCAGGATGAATACGCTGCTAATTAAACTGCAACAAATGACTTCAATAAGAAGAGCTTGTCATGTGTAATGTGCATATGAGAAATGGTCAAACTCTACATGCACAATGAGCTGCAAGGTGCTGAACACTGCTAAGCACACATCATGGATTTCAAACAAGCTTTGCAACTTCTGACAGTTCTCCTAATTACTCTGCTGAGTTGACAGCCAAAGTCGGAAGTCAGGAAGGCGAGATTCATTTCTCATTGTTAGGGATCTCAGGCAGTGAGGCTAAAACCACGCCTGTCTGAACACTGATGGGCTTCAGCAAAGGTTAATAACAATTAAATGCAGCAAACTAGACTAAATGAGAAACAGGTCATGATACTACTGTACTAGCAAAGAGCAGAGGACTGTAATGATAAGCTTTCCAAGAGCTGATCTTCTAACTTCTCAGAGCAATTAGCCTCTGTTTTAGTAGTGTAATAGATAGTAACAGTATCCCAATTATTTTTATTCTTGTCAACTAATGAGCTCTCAGAAATCCATTTTAATTAAACCTTTATGTAAATTATTTTCACTAGCCATGTCTGTGTTGCTCACCCTAAGCCTACAGCCTGTGCCTGAATGCTGAAACTGACAGGTGCTCCCGTTTTTCACAAAGCAGAAAAATGAATTCCATGTGGGAACTGAGAGGTTTATGTATTTACATTGCTAAGCTCCTCTGGGTCTTCTAGTCCATCAGGCCTGCTCAGGTTGCGTGCGGGCTGGATGCAAACCACGTTGCTGTCCCAGGAGGGAGGTCCTAGTGGGGGTCTGTGGATCTTGTCAGGAGAAAATTCACCATCTGCTCCATCTATGCATGAAAGACACAATGTCAGAAGGAGCAGATAACAGTAATGAACCGCGCCCTGGCCAAGAATCGACTGATTTCTCTAACTGTACACCTGCGTTTTGAAATAATTACATAGAAAACACAGCGGACTGGGCCTGAATGATTACACACAGCTCAATGTGAAACGGATATTAACAGTCAGCACAGAAACATGTACTACCAGGGTCTAGTTTACCGTATGACTTATTCCAAACCTCTCTTTAATTTAGAGGCCCCTGCATGTTCACTAGTGTTATAAGGCATGTTAGTCATCAAGGCAGGCCAGGAAAAGTTCCAGTCATTTAAATGTGACAAATCAGTCATTTATGACAAAAACATTACATTCTTACCTCAAACTATTTTGACACATGTATAAATCGGTCTATCACACTGGAACTTCTAAATCACAATACCAAAACCCTCTTAATGGTAGTTAAAATCAAAACTGTGAAATTAATTTCATTCAGCGTCATAACTAAGAAATTGATTAGAACTTTTTTTTAATGACTAAAGTATACCTCACATGGAAAGATTGTTTTTTTGAAAAACATTTTTACACGTACACGTTACTGTTATCCTACGTAGTCAGCTCATCTGTATTTCATTAATAGTGTTTTTGGCTCTGGCTGGAAACACAGACAAGAACCAATTCACAGGACTCAAACACCTGAGCTTTCAGCCTTTCCTGTATCTCCAAGTGCACTTCAGACAAGGGCTAGGGAGGCCATTTCCAGGACGAGCTCACACACAGCAAACAGCAGCAGCATGCTCCCTCGCTCTACTGGGCCCATACCGGCACTTCAGTAATGAGAAACATCACCACTCCCCATTTTACTGTTTATACAGTAACAGCCAAAAACACATTTTCAATGGAAACACAAGTATGAGGCTCTGTAATAGGGCCACACACACGCTCATTACCCGGCTTCACTCCACGGCCCCCCTGCTGTGTAACTCACCTCGGGGCGCCTGCGCGGCATAAGGGTTTCCATACTGCAGCTCGGGGGGCCGGACGGGCACAAGTGGGGCTGGGCCGGGCTCCTGCGGGTAGGGGATGGGGTACTGCAGGAACACCTGCTGCTCCCCGCCGGGCTGCGCCGGCTCCGAGCTCGGGCTCCCAGTGGCTGCGTCTGCCCGGCACTCCTGCCTCTTCTGGAGCTCCTTCATAAAGCAGCAGGGAGGACGCACGTCAGCACAACGCAAGAATAGACAATCTGCTAGGATGGGCTCTTTAAACACAGTGGACTAAGAGCTGTGCCTGCACCACGCACACAAACACGCGTGCTGACTAGAATAATCGGCGCTTTCAGCACTGTTTGGGTCCACTGATGGATGAAGGCCACCCCAGGGTTCATTCATATAAGTGTCATATAGCGGTGTTGTAAGTCATTCGTTTTTGTCTCCGCCAATACAGTAGAATGGCAAAAAAATAAACCGTGCATCAAGCACTGACAACAATCTTAAATGTGGAAAGTGCAAGAAAAACCCGCATGAAGGAATTTTAGCCTAGAAAAGAAATTAACAGGAAATCCATACATTGAAAATTAATATCCTGAATATCTAAAAAGCTGTACAACAACAGAAACACTCATTATGCTCTGTACTGTCCATAGAATCATTACAATATTCAGACTACAGCTAGAGTAGCTTGCAGTGCATTTCAATTCAAATGGAATAGTTGAATAGTTAACAATTCTTAAAATCTAATCAATGTCAAATCAACCATATTGTTGTTACTACAGCGACACCCGACATGAAAGCTGCATCCTTGATAACATTATCTAAAGATCTCGTATAATTTATCCAAACAAATCTCAACATTATTCACCACAACATGATGTATATTGACACTTGACACAAGATTTATAGAACTGTTGAATATGCAGAAAAGAAACACTGAAAAACCTACTTAAATCATGAGGAGAGCTTTCACACACACAGTTTTAATTAGCTTCTTCATTAAGAACTTGTCTTGTTTTCAAAGGAAATCTCAGTCACGCTTTTTATTGATGTTTTTAACAGGCGCCAATATCATTTATTGAGTCTGAACCTCAAATTGTACCATTTTTTCCTATACCCAACTATTACATTACCTTTCAATTCCATTCAAGACAGCTTTAACAGCAATAACTCTGTGTTGTAAGCAGTGGTTAAGAATATTTAATGGAAAATAAGTTATTTACTTTCATACTCTAATTACACAGTGTGAAGGAACCCAAGTAAAACATTCAGCCAAAATAAAAACATGCTAAACTATAAACAGCATTTGTTTTAAATTCCAGATTCTTTCAAAGAATAATTTGTACATATTGTCAAGATTTCTTATCAAGTGTAATAGTTTCTCAATCTCCTAGGTAATGTAAAAATCATAAACTACATATAAGGCAAAGGATGTAAGACATTCAAATTCACTTTCCATAATCTGCGCATCTGTTCGCAATATTCAGGAACACAAATCACTTGGACTAGATAGAACACTTAAGACTAACAGATCTTTCTTTTAGCAGTACATTTTCTTATTTGTTTTTCCATTCTGTAATGCCAAGTTCATACAATCGCTGGTACAGCCCTGTAGGAGGGAGACGACAAGCCCCTAGCTAGCAGTGTTTTATGAGTTTCTTGAGTCTACGCTGTGGAAACCCCGCCATGGAACTCTGGCTGCACGAGTGTTTACTTAATCGGGGTCTTTATCTACAAGTGTCAGGCACATACCTCCACGAGCTTCATCTTCTCAGAGAGAGCCAGGGCCAGACTGTCCTTCAGCTCCTTCAGCTCGCGCCTCTTTTCAGCCACTTGGCTCTGCGAAGAAGAGCTGAATCAAAGCTGCAGTCCCATATGACAGTCCACGTATGGATGTTAGACAATATCAAAGTTTAACTGCTTAAACTCAATTAGTGGTAAAATAACTTTTTCTAAAGAACTGTTTTAAACATATGCTTTAACAAGACAATTTACATTACCTAAGCTTTCATACTACAGCAGCACATAAATGTCATCTCCATCCGGTAACAACTAACAACACTTGGTTTCAGATTAAACATCTCGCCAGCCAGCGATTGCATTAAGAAGTCAGATGTCAGAGCTCTTTTAATCCCTGTGCATCAAAGGCTGATGTCTTGAAATGAACAAAGATAAATTACAATGTGAAAGAACTCCGTGAACTACAACGTTAAAGTATTTATTTTTATCCAAAGATGGCATAAAATGCTAAGTCATTTTAACTACTTTAGTATGCAGGTATTTAAAAAAAACACGTTACAAACAGCCTTCTAGCTGACAAATACAAATGATTAAACCACAGCATTTGGGTTTCAGTAAAGCAGCAACAAACATGGCCAACCTGGTAACGATCTTCTTCTGCTGCCAGCTGCAGTCTCAAGGTTTCGTTAAGCTTCAGCTGCTCCTTTAGCTTCATCTCCACTTTGGCCAGTTCATCGGCATACATACTGCTTCTGTCCTTCTCCTCCTGCACAACACATTGATGGCCATGTCACGGCTAGCTGACCTCTTTTATCACATTATTATACATATACATAATCATATTTCTCTTGAAGAATATGCCTTGTAGAAAACTATTTTCTAAGGAAACATCCTTGTTCAGGGGGATTTAATAATTCAAGTGAAATTGACAGTAGCTAATTTACAGTCATGCACATACAAGAAGCTAAAAAACAAGGCTAGCACAGGAAAGCTGATAGATCACAGGTGCTCTCTGAGCAGGTAAAACTTCAACAGGCTCTGGAAGTGGAAGAACAGACAGAGGTGAGTAAGAAGAGGAATGGAGATTGCAGAAGGAGGCGTGAAGGATAGAGACCAAGGTAGTAATAAAGAAGGAATACATAAGTCCGCATTTGTCAAGGACAGACCCCTGGGGGACACCCACCCAAGGCAGAAAAGATATCAAGAAGGATCAAAACTGAGGAGAGGGAGGCAGCTTGAGCCAAGTGCAGAGAACCAGTAACAGAGAGAACAGTCCCAGTCCCAGAATGGACAGTGACAAGCAGCAAGTCCTGCAAAAGCAACAGAGGGTGAACTGGCACGGTATCAGCTCCAGAAGGATTTTAGTGAGCATTGGAAGAAGTTCTGTCAAGAGCTTTTTTTTAAAGAAAAAATGGAGGCCTGCCACGTAATGGAGGCCTGCTTAAAACAGAAGGAAAACAGCGTAAGAACCGAGACGTTTTGAACGTGATATGCAGGTAAGAAGATGAGGGGCAGCAGTCTAGAAGAGGTGAGGTGCCGCAGTTAAAGAGGGAAGCAAGAAAAAACAGTGGGGTGGCAGCAGGAAGGGAAAGGCAGCTTTTAGAATTTTAGTCCAACTTTCATGATTTTTCTTTTTGGTATGCTTAGGATGACACAATACATACAGTACATCTAGTACATTGTGCCTGGTCCAATGCACAACTCCACTACACAACTAACAGTGGAAGCCTTTTGCAAACATTACCAAAGGGCAGGGAGCAAGCACACTGAAAGCAGAGTTTACATTATTCCTGCAGCCACCACTGTGTGATCACAGTTTTACACCAGCATACTTCTGTGCTATGTAATTCTGCTTTTAGTTATACTTTGACAGTATTATAACTTTGGATTTTTTTCTTACTTTTGCACATAATAATACAGGTATAATATCTAAATATTTTTACTTCTTACACCTACATACTTACAGTCAGCATCTGTTTGCATTTTCTGTATTTGTCACTTTTTTCACTTATTTCTTTATTCATTCCTTTGAGCTTCTCTTGAACCATCACGTCAAGAGCAACTTCAGATGACGCTGGACTGGCTGAAATTAAAAATGAGATTTTCAAAGTGTTATTCACTGTAGGAGTACAAGACTTTGATTGCCTAAACAAACGTTTTCAGACAGGAAAGTTCGATAATGCCATTGCAGGAACTGGAGCCCAGCAGCATCAGAGCAGGTAACACAAGAATTGTGAAATATACCTGGAGGTGTATTTTCTGCAGCAGCTGCTTCCATTTGCTGTGTGCCAAACACCACTGTAGGCTTCTTTGACTCCTTTAGCATGAAACAATAAAATGGAAAAAATCATAAAGCACACAAGATTTTATTCACACTACACATAACAAATAGAGATATGTATCCAAAATTGCAGGAAAGAAACTAGGGGAAAGCTGCAGCATTTCTGAAACTCAGCTCCTAAAACTACCTTTACCTAAAACTGAAACTTGGTTTAAACACAGATACACCAGATACAGTATCCCCTATCCATCCACCCTCTGTCCCTTACAGGGAAACGTCCTTCACTACTACAGGCTACTGCAGAACACTCCTAGCCAATGCAAACAGATTGATTAGCTTCCTTAGATTGGTTCAAATGACTATGGAGGAGATGCTAAGGAGGTTAAATAAATGGGGGCGGCGAGCTCTCGGGTCATGGCGTTGCCACTGCCTGAAACAGATGATCTTGGACAGCCTCACCCCTTGCTCAGTGAGTCTTGCCACTTGCTTCTGGAGCTTCTGGCACTCCTTGTACTTCTCTTTATAATGCTCTGCAGCCATCTGGAGCCTCAGCTTCAGATCCTCTACCTCCCTGAGCAGCTCCTGCTCAGCCACGCTGCTGACCTTTGCACCTCCCTATAAAAAGAAGGGCAAATGTTAACCACAGCACAGCTTATAATAATATTAATAAAAGCTTAATAACTCTTTAATAATATTAATAATAACAATGAAGAGTTTGTACTAAGAATTACACACAATCTTCTGTCTTGTGCTGTTTTCATGACTCAGTGTATTGTATGCTCCCATTTGTTTACATGCACAGAGCATGGCAGCAAAAGTCTATTACATCCTCCTGAAAATACTCTTCTCAGAACTCCAAACCCAGGACACGTTCCGAAAGCACGGGCAAGGCCGCCAGAGCACTAAAGGCTGCAGGGTCAGAATGAGCCGTTTACCTGCTCCGGCTGCCCAGCGGCAGAGGGGGCCCTGAGCCTCTGCAGCTGCTCCTCCTTCTGCTGGCGCTCCGCCTCGGCGCCTGCCAAGCTCTTCTTCAGAGAGTCCATCTCCAGCCGGGCCCTGTACAGCTCAGACATGGTTTTATCCCGAACACTCGACACGTCCCTCAGCTCGGCCGCCAGCATAGACGCCTCCTGCTTGGTTGCCTGAAGCTGCTCCTCGGTCCTGCGGAGCTGCTCCCGCAGCGACACCGCCTCCTCCTGAGAGGGACAGGGGAAATGACACGAAGCTTGTGAGCCCAGGGGGCCGCGGCTGTATTTTACCACTGCAACACCAGATTTAAGTGATACCAGACGTGTATAACAACGGTGAAATTGTTAGGTGAGGAGGAACTACTGTTACTGCTCAATTATAAAATTGATCAAGATTTTACATCTAATATCTTAGCTACGGTCCCAAATACCTGTATCCTGTAAATCATACTTCCTCTCTAAGTAAGTAAATCTTGCCTTGTAATCACATATACTCTAATAATAAAACCCATATATTTAGAAAAGAAGGCTAAACAGATAAACCAATATGTTAATCATGTTAATGACAAAATGTAAATATTCACAATTATATAATTTTAAACAAGATTCTAATTAAAAGATCTTTTGCACCTTGGGTGATGTGTTTGTGAGAATTTCTCTCTGCAACTTTTCTTTCTCTGTGAGGCAAATCTTCAGCTGACCGAGCTCCTCCTTTAGCTGAGTGAGCATGTTCTCCTTGTTCACATCCACAGACTTTAGTGTTTGCAGTTCTGCACTGAGCTTTGTGTTTTCTAGCTCAGTATTCTTCAAGTGAACCTACAAAATCCCCAGAGAACAGTGGAAGGCATGAGCCCATTTCTTTTTCATTCAATCTCCTAACAATGGTTACATGGGCGATCCATGCAAACTCATCACTTAGGCAATCATGGATTTTGATGAAAATATTTCAAAGTAGTAGTCGTCATGGGCCAAAAATATTTCTTATTCCAATTTTCTTAAACAAAGGTAAGACAAAAAACTTGAAATCACTTATAATCAAGAGTGTTTACATGGCTAAACAAAATCAAGTGGGAAATGAATAGACAGCACTACTGGTTAAAAATGAAAAGTACTGCAATATATCAATACATAGCATAGAAATGGTTTCCTAGCTAAAATTAAGTAAAAGCAATTAAATAAATTCTTAATCAGGGGATTATCTATTAATTGGGCTTTACACAGTTAAATTCCAGTAGATTGTATCAGCAGGTGTGAAGAGCACTGAATTCTGATTTAGTAATGCAACATTAATACAAGAGCCAGGTCCTGTAATATGAACTGTAATTATAATCACAGTCTATTGTGGGAGATTTCGACTGGCAATTCACAAACATTCTGCGTAAACAAAAATGGATAAGATCGTGCCATTATCTTTAACTGTTAAACTACACAAACTACCCATCATAGCTTAGAATAGCAGACGGACAATACCTTGTACAATTCTTTCTCATCCTTTTCGTTTTTCAGCTGTGACTCCAAATTTTCTTTCTCTAGTGTTAACTTTTTTACTCTGTCCCGAATACTGAAATTGAATGCAAGTCAGAACAAAACATAACATTTTTAAATTATTTCATGCATTTTTCCTGATTATACTTTTT